CACGAAGTTGACGGGGATTTAAGTTATTCGGGTCACCACTTTCGTCTTCGTCACCTGAATACTCATCCGTAAGGAAATTTGATTCACGCGGATCAATAAAAATGTCTGTTACATCATTTTCTTTATATGCGATATCTAAAGCTTCCTGTAGTGTAATTTCACTGACATTATAAAAATATATGTTTTGACTACATAACCGCCTAGTGGGTCCATATGGGTACAGCAATATTTACATGAATATTTAACTGCCCCTTGTAATTTTGATACAAAAATATGCACACTACGTTATATTTTAAGATCTTTTAAAATAAGTAAAATTAATTTCATCCTAATATTCCCAAAAAAAAGGTACTGAAAATTTACTTCTATAAATCGGATGCTGATTATCAAACTTTTTACTATAACACGATTTTCTAACTTCCTTAGCTTGTGAAATCTAATAAAACACTGATGAGTATTCATCAACACAGGTTCAGGCAAGCCTAAATAAAGTATACATGCGGTAAATGTAATGTTGGTTACCTGTTTTAGTGTAATTTTATTGTGTTAACCAATACCTTTACAGCTGGGCCCATATGGTGACTGTAGGCGCTAATGGGTTAATTTCACCCTATTTTACGGTGCAGCCAATTTGATAGCTAACACACAATAATTGAGCAAGAGGAAGAGTAAGAAGTTCATTGTTGGAAATATATTTTTTTAATTTAAGAAAGTAGTAAATAAGGAATGAAATATAGATATTTATGGGTCAAGTACATTTAATCACGACAAGAAATATTTTCTACTATTGTTTACAACGAAACAAAGAAATATATTTATTAAAGCATAAATCGATCTAATTATTTTCGAATCAGATAAGCAAATTGGCTTACAATAAAAAAATCAATGGAGTATAACGAATCGCGTTATGTTCCATATCACTAATAAGAACTTTCAAAGTTAATTTGAACAATTTACCATATATCAAATTCTTGCGTTTAGGTGAAAAAATTCTAGGCCATCAGACACACTCTCAATTTCATAACGTTATGTTATTGTTATGATATTTCGGAAAGACACGGGAGCTTTACTCAAGCATTACAATCATATAAAAGCCAAAATTTCGCTAAACAATTCAGTTTGTGTTCCAAGACTGAACTTACAACAATAAGAAACATGTTCGTCAAGGTGTGTACCTACATTAATTTAGAAAACCAGTGATTATTACAGTAATTCCTTAATCAGTCAGTGTAGTGTTAAATTTATACAAAATATTTTAAATATGAGTGAGAGTAATGCATTCTTATATTATAATTATCAGACAATATAGATGTCAGATCTAAATTGTTTATTGCACATTACTGTAAAGTAAATTTTTTAATTTAATAATAACATTAAAAATTAGTCACAACTTAGTATCATCCTTTAATACAAAATACCACTTTTTTATTAGTAATTATTATATTTGTTGCACCACAGACTAAATTATCACAACTGTGATACATACTTAAAGATTTTACCTGAGTTTAATTAATATTTATTATTACAATGTTGTTCTGAAGCTATTTTCTTGTGGCATTTTAAAGTAATTATTATTTAAATGGAAATAAGCCACAATTAAAGGGTAAAGTAAGTTTATCTATGTTTTAATTTCCACTTCGGAAATCGTTCTCAAAAATAAAAACGTTTTGAGTGTATTTTGAAAACGATTTCGAAAGTGGAAATTGAAACGTCAATAAACTTACTTTAACCTTTAATTGTGGCTTCTTTCCAATTTAAATAGTAATCAGTATTAGAACTTTTAAATACAACGAAATGAAAGTAAATATTAAAATTGATTTCCTTCTTCGCTTCTCGTCAACAATAATTCTTCTACCTTTGGAATGCTGTGATATATCTTCCTACATCGGTCTGTTTTTCTTCTTCCGATTGTAAACTGTTCTCTGAGCATTTTATTTCTATTCTGCAATTCTGTTATTGTCTCTACTCTCTTTTTTTTTTATCTTACACCTACTTTTTTATATCGCCATTTTTGAATTTCTTTATCTGTGACGTACGTAATAATGGGTAAAATCTGTTTACTTTTACTTAATTTTGTCTTTTGTTTCCTCTGTTTTTCTTATAGATTATTGTAATTTGATAAGGTTAATAATATAGCATCACTTGTTCTACTGGTTTGTTTTCAAGTCTGAGTTGAATTCTTATTGGTTTTTTTTATACTACTAATGACAGTGTTTTTAAATGTACCTCCATTAAATTGTCTTTCCATCGTTTTATTGGTCTTCCTACTAATTGTCTTCCATTGTATTTTCGGTCTTCATCTTGGTCGATTTATTGCTGGTTTAAAATTTGTTATCCTTTTAACTAGTGCATCTTCTTCTTTTCTTTATATGTGTCTACATCTTTTCCGTCTTTGTGTCTTAATAAATTTTACGATGTCTCCCTCTTTGGTTACCTATACTTATTATTTCATGTTTCATCAGTCTTCTATGTTCTACTTGTTTTAACTTTATTGAACCATGTATTCTTCTTATAATTTTTCTTTTACTCATTTTTAATTTGTCCTTATTTTATTTGTCTAAAAGAGTTGGAACCTTTGAGTTTACGAATTTTAGACCAAATGACAGCTGAAGAGGTCGATGAATTTATAGAAGAGACATAATTTTCCCATGTATTTTTTTTACTTTTTTTATGAGATATCTCGATCTTGCTCTAAGTTTTTTAAAATTAAGTAGATTTTCTTCCGTATTATGCTTTTTAAGTTTATTAGACGCACATTTTGTTAAAAATAGAGCTGGTACAATTTCGCTGGTCCACCAAGGCACTGGTTGTCTATTACAGAGTTTAGTTTTACAGATATCATTTAAGGCAGTTTCTGTATGAGATTATTTAAGGACCTAATCTCATAGGTTAGGTCACTGCTTAATTAAAAATTTTTAATTTTCTTTTGGATGTCGATCTGATAGAAGTTCCAGTTTGCATTCTTTATTTTCCAAGATTGATATATTGAATATTTAGGGGATTGAGATTTATTAAGTGTTACATAAATGTGGAAATGATCTCTGTCGTGTGGTGATTCTAAAGTATTCCATAAGAGATACCTAGATAACGATTGGCTACATCATGTCAAATCTATGGCGGAAAACGAGCCGTTGTAAGAGTTAAATTGGGTCGATTTTTAATTATTAAGTAGTATTAAGTCTAAGAAATCAATGAAATGGTTCAATAAATTACCAAATTTGTCAGTTTTATGACTTCCCCATGCCGGATGATGGCAATTCATATCACCTTAAATTATTTTTGGGTTTAGAATTTGATCTATAAGATTTTTAAATTTTTGTAAATCGAGATCGCTTGGATGAGGCAGATATCATCAATCAGTAAATCGCGTCCACTGCTGGACAGAGTCCTCCCTCAGTTCTTTCCAGTGTTCTCTACACTAGGCCGCTTGTAGCCAGTTTCCCGCTACACGTTTTATATCATCGGTCCATCTAGTCGGTGGTCGTCCTCGGCTTCTTTTATAGTTTCTGGGCCTCTATTTCATAATACGTCTTGTCCACCGTCCATCTTATACTCTGGCTAAGTGCCCTGCCCAGTTCCACTTAACCGACGTGGTTCGTTCGATGACGTCTTGAACTCCTGATCTTTGCCTAATTTGTTGGTATGTTATGTGGTCTCGAAGGCTCACGTTCAGCATTGCACATTCCATGGCTCGTTGTGTAACTCTGAGTTTATTCGCAGATTTTTGCGTGAGTGTTAAAGTCTCTGCTCCATAAGTTTGTACAGGTAAAACACATTGGTTATAAACCTTTCGCTTGAGACACATGGGAATTGAACTTTTTAGAATATGGCTTAATTTGTCAAATGCTGCCCAAGTTAGGCCTATTCGCCTCTGTATTTCATGTGTTTGATTGCCTCTGCTTATTTTGATTTCGTGTCCCAGATATTTGTAAGTGTCTGTTTGTTGTATGGTATTATTGTCAATAGTTATATTTCCACACATTACGAGATTTGTTATAAGTTTAGTTTTCTCAAAGTTTATCTTTAATCCTGCTCTTTTAGACAGACTTTTAAACGAATGCATCATAGAAACTGTATCTTGTAAATTATCTGCGATTAATACAACATCATCTGCAAAGATTTAATCTTTCTCCATCTATATTGATACCCATATCTTGCCATTGAGTGCTCTTAAATATTGACTCTAGAGCTGCTGTGAACAATTTTGGTGAAATATTGTCTCCTTGTCTAACTCCTCGACCTAAGCTGAATTTTTCTGTGTCTTCGTGTAGTCGTATACTTGATCTGGCGTTGTCGTAGATGTTTTTGATTAGTGTCGTTTACCTGTAATTTATTTGGCATTGATTTAGGGCTTCCAGTATTGTTTTAAACTCTAGAGGCAGATATATATTGCAAATATTAATATGTTTTGGTAAGTAACTGTTACAGCTACAGCTTCAAGACTAGTACTTAATGCAATTGGTTTAACTTATATATCTGTTCTAGTGAAGATAGCTACACCGCCACTGGCTTGGTGTGCGTTTCTATTTCTTAGAAAATATTGATAATTTCGGAGATTTATATTGGTATTTTTTAAATGGGTCTCTTAAAGACAAAGTATTTTAGGAGATAGCTCATTTATTAAAAGTTTTAATTGTTCAATATGGATGTAAAACCCATTAGGTTTCACTTCACAATAAAATAATCTGACATTAAAATTCCGAATGGGATTGCGGTTTATCGGACTCTTCAATTAAAGATCTTTTATTTGGGTGTAGTTTCTTCTTTAAACGGGCGATGATGTTAATTTGAACAATTTCCCATATATCAAATTCTTGCGTTTAGGTAAAAAAAATCTAGGCCATCAGACACACTTTCAATTTCATAACTTTATATGTTATTGTTATTATATTTCGGAAAGACACGGGAGCTTTACTCAAGCATTACAATCATATAAAAGCCAAAATTTCGCTAAACAATACAGTTTGTGTTCCAAGACTGAACTTACAACAATAAGAAACATGTTCGTCAAGGTGTGTACCTACACTAATTTAGAAAACCAGCGATTATTACAGTAATTCCTTAATCAGTACAGTGTAGTGTAAAATTTATACAAAATATTTTAAATATGAGTAAGAGTAATGCATGCTTATATTATAATTATTAGACAATATAGATGTCAAATTTAAATTGTTTATTGCACATTACTGTAAAGTAATTTTTTTAATTTAATAGTAACATTAAAAATTAGTCACAATTTAGTATCATCCTTTAATACCTAATACCACTTTTTTATTAGTAACTATTATATATATATATATATATATATATATATATATATATATATTATATATATATATATATATATATATATATATATATTAAGATAAAAATACGTTTATTGACGTTTCAATTTCCACTTCGGAAATCGTTCTCAAAATACAAACAGTAAATTAAACAATTTTTGTTTTTTGTTACATAGTGAAAAATTCTTCTAATAATTTAATTTTATCTGACTCATTTATATTGACAATTCAGACATACATTATGCATTTTAAAGTAGACGATTTTAAAATGATATTGCCAATATTGTTGAGTTGCGCTCCTGGGACGACTTTACTTATAAGATAGTTCATTTGATTACATAAAATCAACTTTAACTTGAGAATATCGTAACAATGATTCTTCTACCTTTGGAATGCTGTGATGCCTCTTTCTACATCAGTCTGTTTTTCTTTTTTCGATTATGAACTGTTCTCTGAGTATTTTATTTATATTTTCCAATTCTGTTTGTTCTCTGTTTGTTTTGTGTGTTTTTCTTATGGATTATTGTAATTTAATAAGGCGTCTAATAAATTACCATCACTTGTTCTACTGGTTTGTTTTCAGAGTTTGATGCCTATTGGTTTTTTTATACTAATAGTGACTCTAATTTTTTTACTGATTGGGCTTTCAGAGTCCAAGCTTTTACCACATATAGCAGTTGTGACCATATATAACATACGTCGAACCTTAATCTGATAACCATACTCAATTTCTTATTTGTGAACAATGACTTGTATTCTATAAATCCTTTCCGAGCGATTTCAATTCTGACCTTTATCTCCTCATCTTAATCTAACTGTTGTTTACATTAAAACGCTTTTCAAATTGATAAAAAAGGATACATCCCAGCAAGTCTTTAGCTGTGACGAGACAGGGGCTTCTTTTGGAAAGAATTCCGAATAGGGCTTACATAACGGCAGAAGAGAAGGCGATGCCAGGTTAAAAACCTATGAAAGATAGATTAACTCTGCTATTATGCGCCAATGCGAGTGGCGACTGTAAAATCAAACTTCTTTTAGTTTACCATTCAGAAAATCCCAGAGCTTCTAAGTCACATGATATTTAAAAAGTAAAGCTGCCAGTTATGTGGAGGGCAAATCCAAAGGCGTGGGTTACCAGGAAATTCTTTGTGGAGTGAACAAACCTGATATTTGCCCCTTCTGTTAAAAAATATCTACAGCAAAACAAGCTACCAATGCTAATCGTTCTTGTATTTGATAATGCCTCTTCTCAACGACCAAATCTCGAAGATGATTCACTCCACGAGTTTAAGTTTATAAAGATTTTCTACCTATCAACCAATACCACTCCTATCTTGGAGCCCATGGATCAGCCATTGATTTCTAATTTTAATAAGTTGCATACCAAGCACATTTTTCGGATCTGTTCTAAGGTAACAGAGAACACAAACCTTATCCGTTAAGATTTCTGTAAGGACCACTTTAACATAGTAATATGCCTAAAAATTATTGAGCATGCTTGGCTAGGTGTTTCAGAAACGACTTTAACCTCCGCATGGAAGAAGCTGTGGCCTGAGGCTGTAGATGAAAGGACCTGCAAAGGACTGGATCTCGAAGTGACAGTGATAGATGACATTGTTTTTTCTTGTAAAATTTATGGGTCTGAAGGTGGATGAAAGAGATGTGAACGAACTTATCGAGAAAAAATCTCAGAGCTGACAACCGAGAAGTTAGACGAACTACATTGGCATCAACATACGGTGGTTCAACGAGAAATTAGTTTTGAAGAGGAGGCAGAATTGGAAGACATCTCTAAAGAGATATAATGGGGATCCTGTGAATGTGGGATAAAGTTGCAGAGTTCGTGTATAAAAATCATCCCGAAAAAAAAATATGTTATATTATAAGAATTTGGTAATAATCGAATATTCTGCTCCAAACTGTATTATTCTGATGAATATGTTTACTACTTTGTAGATATTTATTGCGCCAAATCTATTGAATGTCTTAGGAAGATCTGTCTCGATTACATTTTAAATAGTTTTTGATTTTTGCCGCATAATTTGATTAACATTTCGCTTTGCTTTGTTGTTGCTTTCCTTTTAATTGATCCTAATCCACAAGGAAAACAATTCCTGTAGCTGGCTGTATACCACGTATCACAAAAAAAGAGGTTAGTCTTTGTAAGTGGGTATATTTATTTAAAAACCCTTAAAAGGGCTACATCAAAAAAACAAACGTTTTCGGACTAAACAGTCCATCATCAGGTTTAAAATCTGCCTAAAATAAGTACAAACCATTTAGTTAAAACAAACGTGATTATGAAATTTTGACTATGGTTAAAAAAGCAAAATGGCTATACTTATTAGGTTAAACTGCCTGAGCCCCAAAAAATACATGGGTAAAAACCCTTTAAATTTCTTATAGTTATCAAAGATTATACATCTTGTTGTTAAAAAACTGTGATGTTCATTATTAAATTGAATATGACTTCATATTATGTATTCAATATGTATGTTACCTGAAGTCATATTCAATTTAATATTGAACATCACAGTTTTTTAACAACAAGATGTATAATTTTTGATAATTATAAGTAATTTAAATGGTTTTTACCCATGTATTTTTGGTGGCTCAGGCATTTTAACCTAGTAGGTATAGCCATTTTGCTTTTTTAACCATAGTCAAAATTTCATAATCACGTTTGTTTTAACTAAATGGTTTGTACTTATTTTAGGCAGATTTTAAACTTGATGATGGACTGTTTAGTCCGAAAACGTTTGTTTTTTTGATATAGCCCTTTTAAGGGTTTTTAAATAAATATACCCACTTACAAAGACTAACCTCTTTTTTTTAATTGATCCTGTCTATTTTCTTATAGTTGAAAACCATTTTGAAAGAAAATCCAAATTGCCATCTAAAGTTAGCGTATTTTATAATTAATTAACTTATTAATAATGTAATTTAAGCTTATTAACATTTTTTACAAAAATTACAATATATTCTTATAACACAAACTTACGTACATACAAATATTCTTTTATCATTAAATTAATCATTAATTATTCAAATTTTGCAGATCCTGTCCGTATCTGCCATCTTGGCTGCAGCTCAAGCAGGTTTTCTAGGAGGTCACGGAGCAACATCCTACGCCTCAAACCAGCTCTCCGGCGGTCACGGATATGCTGTACCAGCTGCTCATTACGGAGGTGGAGGATATGGACACGATTCTCACCAAGACTACTATGCCCATCCAAAATACCAATTTCAATATGGTGTTCAAGATCCTCACACCGGCGACCACAAATCCCAACACGAAGTAAGGGATGGTGATGTCGTTAAAGGATCCTACACTGTTGCGGAACCCGACGGTACCATCCGTACCGTTCACTACACAGCCGATGACCACAATGGTTTCAACGCAGTTGTAGAAAAATCCGGACATGCAGTACATCCTGAAGTTTATGCTCATGGCGGTCATGGTGGATACGACGGACATTATTAATTGTTTTTCTTTATTTAATTTATGTGATTTTTTATTTTTGATATTGATGTTATTATTGTGATGTTTTTTTTCTCACACCTGTACCTAATATATTTTGTATATACAAGACAAATTTTCTTTTTTTTATAATATTTATAGTCGACTTCGTAAAAAACCAAACGTGTCGTATTATACAAACAATGATGCAAACAAACATAAAGTATTAACAATAATATTTTTAAATCCTAAATTGAAGGCGGTCCTAAACTTAGTTGATTCGGTACACCTAAAACTTGGTCTCGATGTTTTCCATCGTTTTCCTATAGTAAATCTTTAAACAAATTATAAGAAATATAATCAGCAGTTTAGTTATTAGTGGTAATTTAATTATCCGTAAGTACTTTTATTAAAATATCTCGCATAATTACGAATTTCAATCCAGTCATACTTCTTTTTTTAACGTGCTCTATTAAGTCTCCTTGACGTTGACGATTAACATGGCGAAACTGTCTTTGTCTCGAGCTATTCTAAATAGTTGCTCAGCTTTCTTTATTCCTGTCCACTCCCTGATATTCTTCAACCAAGAGGCCTGCTTTCTACCGATTCCTCTGCGTCCTTCGACTTTACCCATCATAATAAGTTGAAGAATATTATATCGGACTCCCCTTACTACGTGTCCAAAATAGGCCATCTTTCTATATTTGATGTTATCAAGCAGCTCGCGAGCAGCATTTGCTCTCTCAAGGACTGCCACATTTGTCAGCATAGCCGTCCATGGAATTTTTAGTATACGTCTGTGCAGCCGCATTTCAAAGGCCTCCAGACGATTAATGGTGGATATTTTTAATGTCAATGCTTCGACACCGTATAAGAGGACTGACCAAATGTAGCATTTAACCATGCGCTTTCGAAGTTGAAATTACAAGTTATCATTACAGAAGAATGACCTCATTTTTAAAAATGTCGTGCGGGCTATCTCGATTCTATATTTTATCTTTTGATCTGGATCTAGTTGTTCAGTAATATGGCAACCAAGATATTTAAAACTGGACACTCTTTAAATTATATGACCATTAACATATAATCGTGCATCTTGATGTGCTAAACGGATAAACACCATGTGTTTTGTTTTTGCACAGTTTATGTTTAGGCCAAACTCTCTTCCCACTGTATCAATGGCATTTAAAAGGCATTGTAGTCCATTTATGTCATCACTTAAAATAACTGTATCGTCTGCATATATAATTGTATTTATCAGAATTCCATTAACTTTCACGCCCCATTCCAAAGTATGCAGCGCTTCTTTAAATATTCTATCTGAATATAAATTAAATAACAGTGGGGATAGTATACAACCCTGTCTGACACCTCTTTGTGTTTTACATATTTCTGTTGATTTTCCGTTTATGCAAGCTGTCGCTGTTTTCGACGTTTTCTATGAAAAGTTATACTGACTCCAGTCATACAGTTTTGTGAATTAAAAAGTTTTTAAAAATAACTTGTTTTTTGGCTTATCTTTGATAATTTACTTAATAATTTTATCCGATGGCCGGTACTTTCAAAGAAAAAGCCACTATTATTCCAGCAGTAGACACACTAAAATTAGAAGACTACGTTACAGCAGTGGAATCACTCTTACAGCCCAAAAATGTACCATATTTATCAAAAATTTCTAATAGCAGAATCTGCATCTACCTTTCCAGCAAAGAAGTTGACAACTTTTTAACAGATCACGAAGTAATAAAACTAGGAGATAATGTCATTAGAGCGAGAATATTAGTCACTCCTGCTAATAGGTGACTGTTGTCCAATATTTGTCCGACTATTCCTCATCACATCATCGAGAAATATCCTGCTGAGAAGGGCTTTCATCTACTTTCACCGATGTCTTTCTTAAGAGCGGGAATACAAGACCCTCAAAATAGTCACGTCCTAAGCTTCCGTAGACAGGTGTACTATACACCTGTTGACAATATTGGCATTCCTAAATCAATTATCGTTGATTTCAATAATATATCTTACCGAATCTTTCTTTCTGATGCACGAACCTGCTATCTCTGCCATCAATCTGGTCATATAGCCCTAACCTGTACCAATATGGTAATTTAGTTAAATACATGCGTATATACATCCCAAACTGATTAAGAATATATTCCTTTCTCCAATGCGATAGCTGAAAGCAAAACTTACTCTGTTCAGAATCAAACGAAAAACACTTGTGACGTAATGGACTCCCAAAAACTACATACAGATATTACCATATAGAAATGTTCTCATTCTGAAATATCGACATTACTTGGTACACCAACAGCAGAAAACACAGAAATCTATTTTATAAAGCCAAAAGCAATATCAATAAAAAAGTTAAAAGCCACTAAATCTTATACAAAAACTACAGAGATAGTTTCTACAGAATCACTTATCCAACACGCAAATGAATTTATTGATGAAACTTAAACTTGGTTCGAAATCAACTATATAGCGATAGTCAGCTTTCTAGCAGATGTACATGGTTCCCCCAATCCAATAAATATCGCACTAGAATACACAAAAAACATATCAGGACTATTAACAATACTAACAGAATTCTAAATACGTCGTCTGTTAAATATAGAACAAATTGAAAAATATGACAACTCCGAAGATTCAGATGTTTCTTAAGAAAGCGCCAATAAAAAAAATAATAAATGGATATTATTCAGTGGAATCTCTCTTCAATCCTGACCCCCCCCCCCCCAGGGAGAGTGTAGTGGTCGACGTGAAGTCGTGTATTGTCCGCCTCCAGAGATCTCTGTCTCTGGTCATTTCTTTTAATTCATGCATAGGTCTTTGGCATATTCCTGTAATTTGATCTATCCATCTTGTTGGGGATCTTCCTCGGCCTTCTACCTTTCCTTGTATTATGAGTCTTTCTATGTTTTCTGTGTTTGCTCTCATCACATGCCCAAAATATTTTAATTGTTGGAGATGGACTTTACTAGAGATTTGTTGGCAAACTTTTAGCTCTCTTAAAATTGAATTATTTGTTCTACGGTCGGTCCAAGGAATTCGTAACATTCGTCTCCAATAAAACATTTCAGTGGCGTCTATCTTTCTTCTCTCCGATTGTCTCAGAGTCTAAGATTCACATCCGTAGGTCAGTATTGGGAATATTAAGCAGTTGATCAACCTTATCTTTATCGCTCTTGAAATTTGACAGTCCTTCCATATTTTGGTCATTTTTGCTGTGGTAACTTTTGCTGCATCACATCTACGTTTAATCTCTTCTTGTAATGACCCTGTGTTTGTGATTAATGATCCCAGATATAAGTATGAGCTCACAACCTCGAACCGGTTATGTGTGGATGATTGTTGTATAGTCTATCCACTATCATGATCTTTGTCTTTGATATGTTTAATTGCAGACCAAATATTTGACTTTCGTTTTCGATTAGTTCCATCAGCTCTGCTTGACTTGATATTTGCAAGAAGCGCTGTGTCATCTGCGAAACGTAGGTTGTTTAGTTTATGACCATTTATTGAGATGCCCTTTTCCCATCCTTCAAGTACTCTTCGCATAATATACTCCCCATATATGTTAAATAATTGTGAAGATAGTATACATCCTTGTCTGACACCCCGTTCTGGATGAAATTTGTTCGAAAGTGTGTCAAGTAGTTTAATTGATCCAGTAGTGTGTTCATATAGTTCAGTTATAAGCGTAATTAGATGTTGTGGTACGCCTACTTCTTTTATTGTTCGCCATAAGTGTCTCCACTTGACTCTGTCGAACGCTTTATGGTAATCTATAAAACAGATGTATAGTGGGATGTTGAATTCCTTAGATTTCTCGATTATCTGTCTTATATTTAGCAGGTGTTCTTGAGTGCCTCTGCCTTTGGTAAATCCAGTTTGCTCTTGTGGAATTTATCTTTGAAAAAATTTTTTCAGTCTGTCATTGATTATATGTAGCATTATCTTGCTGGCATGGGATATAAGAGAGATAGTTCTATAATTGTCGCATTTATGGAAGCTTCCTTTTTTATGTATGGTCGTTATTGTACATTTTGTCCAGTCTTCAGGCCATTGTTTGGAATGCCATATTTGGTTACAGAGTAGATGAAGTAACTTTACGCCGGTTTCTTCTGTGGCTTTAAGCATTTCTATTGTTATCATATCTGGACCTGGTGCTTTGTTATATTTGAGCTTGTTGATAGCCTGCAGTGAAATATACAAGGATTATTTACACACATCGAAAGGGTTTAACTCTTGATAAAAGAAATAAACTAACAAATTATAGCTCTACAAGAAACAAACTTTAAAAATAACCAAAAATACAACTTAAAACATTTTGATTCATATCACAAAATCAGAAACTATGCGAACAAAGCAAGCGGTGGGATATCAATATTATGATAATTCTGATCCAGAACCAAAAGAAATTCCTTCACACACTGCTTTAAAAGCCGTAGCAATTAAAGTTTATTGTCCAACTTAGTCATTTGTATGCAATGTTTATATCTCATCAGATATGGATTTTGTCGCAAAAGAGGAGAACAAATAGAAAAATTTCCTAATAAAAAACAGATTTTGTACCATTACATACAAGATAAAAAAACTCGATTTAACTATGTTACCGGCCGGCAGTCATTCTGCTATTGATCTAACTATATGTGAAAGTTCCCTAGCTCCTTGTATAAACTGGGAAGTATTAACCCATACCCACGATAGTGACCACGAGCCTATAAAAATAAGAAATAATAACTCCACAAAAACAATTATAAATTTTTTAGAAACACGGAAAACTAAAGATGCAAATTGGATAGCTTATCAACAACATATTGAAGATTACCTACCTAATTTTGAAACAGTAGGAGATAATATTAATTGATATAAGGTTGAATGCTCGAATAAATGAACTTTGATTAAATAAAAGGCAGATATCGAGGACAATTTTATTAATTAAATCTTGTCCAAGTACTTTCTCTTCTTAGAGCATCTTCAGAGGCATTTCGTCAATTTTGGCCTTTCCGACAATCATA